GAGCTGCGGCCGGGGTGAATTACACCCTAGTTTAATGTTGGTATATTTCGGGGATAGAAAAAGTACAAGTCTGAATCTTCAGAATGAAACACAAGTCCAAAAATTACCGCAGAATATCGCCAAGAATACAACAACCAATGTTGTCAGCACGAATCGCACACTTTGAATGTCTGGTTTGAATTCAATTTAGTAACCAAGAAAACTTTTACAGAAGGTCATTTAGAGATGGCCTTTCATAGATAAAACAGGAAGGGCAAAAATGAATTGACCGCGGAGGTCATAGAGGAATGTCTCCTTGAGGAGAAGGCTGAGAGTTTCGGCGACCTCGGGTTCCCACAAGATTAACGGGAGGATGAGTTTGGCGCCAGCCAAACTCATCCTCTGATTCTAATAAATTTTGCAACGATGGATTCTACTTTTTTTCGGACAACTACTGTAATTTGTTGCATTTTATTCATTCAATATTTTATCGTTTATTCATGATTATTGCTTATGTTATCAAATATTGTGCGTTAAATGCATTTCGCTGGATTAAGTATCTTTAAATGGGGAAGCTTTGTTTTGCATTCTACAGAAAAGACCTGGAAAAAATTTATCGATTTTTGAAAAATCCAAAAACGGTACAGGAAATTGAGTTTCATGCATCTTGTTGAAATAAGCAAATTAAAGCTCAGGATTTTTAAATACAGCTGTGCCACTGTATATATCCGAACACCCTTTCGAATGTTCATGGCGGAGACTTTGAAAAAATCTTTAGAATTGTCATTACTCGCATGGATTTATCTTCTAGAAAAAATTGAAGAGATCAGGAAACGGGGTTTTTTTTTTACTTCGCCAATCGCGAAATACAAGATCTGGTTTAAGTTTTATTTTAATTATATTTTTTTCAATCGATGCAACTCTCAAATGTTTTCCGTCTTTCATAAATGTGTAAAAATTCAAAAAGACGATTCGGAAAAAAAAACTATGAACCATGGGAAAATGTTTTAACTGATTTTTGCACGATTTTTTAAAGCTAAATGGGCGCTACGGCGGCTGTCTTCTTGCAACACTTTTCAGGATAATGAAAAATCTGTTGAGAATTCTCACTCCTAATACGGTACATTTAATTCGAAGGTGCGGGTAAGTCGAAAAAACGCACTTGAAATCATGATACAATATTGCATTTTAAAGAAGCTTTTTCAATAGCTTTGATTTTACACTTTTTAACGTGATATACTGATGAGCTTTGAATCGTTCCGGAGATGCAAAAATAACGATACCATCTACAATGTATCCGAATATGATTTACAGTACACCCTCAATGGATTGGCAATGTCCTCGAAATAATTGTTACGTTATCGGTCAATAAGTTGTGTTTTTTCATTTCTGAAAACATATTACAACATACTCTCGAAAATTTTTGAATTTCATCAAAACAGAGTCGTTTGAAAAGTTTATTTATCATTCGACGACGTTTGTCGCGTGAAATTTAATATGAAAACGAACTCGTTTCGGTGTCATCGTTGCACGTCGGGCAAGTTTTCTCACATTCATCAACTACTGTACTGTATATATACGGGAAGAGTTGATGAAACGCGTTAATTGCGTCCGTGCTGGGTTATGGTGATGAAAAAAACGGGGAGGGGGGTAGAATAAGAAGAAGAATAAATAAAAAAAAAAACGATTGCATTCCGTGCATAGGAGCAACTGCCTGTCTGTCTGTAGTGAAAATTGCCGGGCAATATATACAGTTCATGCTGTACACCACACGCATCGGAAATAATCACTTGGGAACATACGCAGCTGCATGTATATGTACGAGTATAAAACGTACTCGTACCAGGACCCGAGAGCCGGATGAGACACGAGCTTTATCCCCCCCTTTTTATATGCTCCTTCCAGAACTCTGTTACTGTTGACGCTTGGCGGGGTCGTGTGTGTGTGTGTGTTCTGCTTCACCATGTTATTGCCAAGGTCCTTTATATATATATTACTGGTTGTGTCCCCCTTTTTTCTCTGTTTTTCTTTACACACATATAGGTCTGACCTATTCCGAATTCTCTGCGTCCCCGTTTTTCTTTTGTTGCCTTTTTGATTCTGGGCTGTTCAGGAAGACTGGCATTCAGATTTCCCGGGGGAAATTTAGGTCGCCTTCATGTATGCAAGTGGTGCGCGCCTTTTGCGATGCCGCTTGTGTTGATTTGAACCCCCCGCGGAAAGCTCTCGAACTTATTGTTTCTTCTTCTCGGGTGTTGACAATTTTTCGGCAGAATTCACGAGGATTTATGTGCTGAGATATAACTGACCTTCAGGCTTCAGCGCAGGTGGCATGTTTTGAATAAGAGGTTGAACAAAGGGTTCACCTTCATTTTGGCTTATCCGAGCTCCATACTTGTTTATTGTACCGCACATCAGAATGCGAAAAAGGATGTTTTTGCACAGACAAAAGTGGAGTTAATCTTGCCTTAGATATATGGCAAGGGAGGGGACCTTTGAACATAGTGTCTGTCGTAATTGCATTAATTTCCACAAAAAACTCTTTCAATATACAGTAATATGATGCATCAAATACTTTAAAATTACCAGTTCAGAAACGCAAAATAGAGTTTCATATTGAAGATAAAAAAAAATTCCTGCCGGAAATAACATGACAAAGCAAGGTAATTTTAGATTTTTAGAAAATGTATTTATTCGTATATAAATTCTCCAAAAATCGATTTAAATACAGTATAATGTGTCACATCTTTTAGATTTGGATTTACCAGTTCAGAAACGCAAAATTGCATTTATTGCGGAATAAAATTTAAATAATTTTCCGGAAATGCATGACAAAGCTAGAAAAAATTCAGAACGTGAAGTCATTCATAATTGAATTACGTTTTTAAGAAACCGCCAACGAAATGCAGAATTGTAATACTGTATTGTCAACTTTAGTTCAGAAATTGTGTCAACCATTCCTCGAAAATGGGGGGTTCGTTGTGGGTTTCATATCTAAAGCACTTCTCCAGCTTTTCTTTTCTTTAAACACAAAAAAGATGGGAAATTAGCCTTTCGATTAGTTTTATGATTTTCCCCTTCAGTTATTATAACAGAAAATGCTCAAGCTCGGAATTGGCAAGGTTTTGGCCATCTGAAATTTTACTTGCGGTCTAATGCACTCAGTTATGGGTTTCTGACTGATTTCAAGCTTATAAAAAGCTGAGGGTTATGCAGGATCACAGGCTTGAATTACGTCGTGTTAGCAGTTGAAAAAAAAAGAACGCGTGACGTTTTGTGAATACCATACATTCCTAGCCATCGGGACTTTTGTTTCTTCGGGGTCGAAATTCACACGACAGCTTACTACTGTATATTGTTCAGTGAATTCAACAGAATTCCGGATAAACTGCGCAGATTCTCCGAGAAAACTGAGCATTACTTTTGGGTGGGCAAGGAAACTGATTGATTGCAAATTCACTCGCAGAACAGCGGAAAATAATCGGGGACGCGCCGCTGAAAGAGCGCATCCTGGAGGAACTCGGCGGGTTCCCCGTGACAAACCGGACCTGGACCCCGCCACCCTTTTCAATCGAACGTCTGATCGGGGTCCTCAAGAAGGACTACAACGAGGGCATGTTGATGGAGCAGTGGGTCGGGCCAGACGACAAGAACTCCTCACTCAACATCATTCACTCAAGCTCGGAATTGGCAAGGTTTTGGCCATCTGAAATTTTACTTGCGGTCTAATGCACTCAGTTATGGGTTTCTGACTGATTTCAAGCTTATAAAAAGCTGAGGGTTATGCAGGATCACAGGCTTTAATTACGTCGTGTTAGCAGTTGAAAAAAAAAAAAGAACGCGTGACGTTTTGTGAATACCATGCATTCCTAGCCATCGGGACTTTTTTTTTTCTTCGGGGTCGAAATTCACACGACAGCTTACTACTGTATATTGTTCGGCGAATTCACCAGAATTCCGGATAGGCTGCGCAGATTCTCCGAGAAAACTGAGCATTACTTTTGGGGGGCAAGGAAACTGATTGATTGCAAATTCACTCGCAGAACAGCGGAAAATAATCGGAGACGCGCCGCTGAAAGAGCGCATCCTGGAGGAACTCGGCGGGTTCCCCGTGACAAACCGAACCTGGACCCCGCCACCCTTTTCAATCGAACGTCTGATCGGGGTCCTCAAGAAGGACTACAACGAGGGCATGTTGATGGAGCAGTGGGTCGGGCCAGACGACAAGAACTCCTCACTCAACATCATTCAGGTCAGGCCTTTTTTTTCTCTGCTCCTCATTTCATGCACCTCCACTCTTTAGTATAGTGCTGTCTGATGGGGGTTAGTGTGCTGATGGGTGCTGTGCCCATATGATGGGCGTGCCAGCACCCCTATGGCGAAGTTGGAGGGGTTGTCATATAAATGTACGACATGATTGCCGCTTCCCTGTCATCACGCTGCTTCAATTTATCTCCTTTTTTTTACCCCTTAATGTGTTCGTGTACACGCCGGTGGTAATTTGGCGGGTCGCAATTTGCAGCTGAAATGGCACGATGTTGCATTTGTTGCGTGGAGGTTCTCATGGGTGTATCCGCCAAATTGCTTGCAGTGGAGACTTTTGAAAAGGCATACGTGAAGTTCTTCATCATGTAGTCAAAATGTACCCTCATGTTAACTTGGATGATACAGTCAAGAACCACTCCCAGTTAAATTTTGAGGTACTGTATCAGCACAAAATTGGCGTTATGGGGGTTTGGAGTTGAGGAAGCAAGCATTTTTATTATGGGAACGATAGAAGAATTGAAGGATATTGTAAATGGTGATATTCTTGGCCTTGAATTGCTTCTTAAATATTTTGACGGTTTCTTGAACTTGGATGCAAGGTTCATTTGCCCAAATAACCTCTCACTCCTTTTCAGGACACATTCAGTTAATTTTGCATTCCTTTTCTCTTCCCAGAGTCATAAGAAAATAATTTCCAAAAGACCTCCAGAAAATTCGAATTTCGGAGGTTTCGAGAAGTTCGAGCATTGTTTCTGAGGGAATTCAGGCACATCTTGGAAAAAATCTGACTTCTGGAGGTTTGAGTTAACGAAGTTCAACTGTAGTAGAATTAAAACTCCCCAAAAGGCAGGTAGCTTCGTGTGAAAATATGTTTCTCAGTGATGTTTGAAAAAAAGTTTCAATGCATCCAAGAGAAATGTTGAGAATAGTCAAGACCTTTGGGCAATTAGCCAATGCATGAAAATCCAAATTTTGGTACAGTAATTGAAGAATTGATGGTGTTTGTAAAAATTCCTTATAACTTTTTAACATTTGAAGTTTGTAACATCGGACCACTCATCCTTTTTGCGCTTGGTGTCCTTGAAATCATGTATAAACTTAAAATGCATGGGAACAGCAATGTTTAGTTTAAGATCAATCCAGTTAAAGTATTGAAAATACGGAAACCGTGTATTCTATTATTTTCCAGTTCAATGAATACAAAGCAATGTAGCCCATGGAGAAAAATTCTTCTCTTGAAAATATCAAATTTTTTAATGGTCTTGCGGAGTCCGATTATTTTTCGTTGATCGTTCAACCTCGATACAAGTTGGACTTCAGTATAACGAAAACCTCCGTAAGGTTTAATTCGATTCAGTTCCTATTCCAAATACCTTTTCCAATACTCAAACCTATGCAACTCAAATGCGAAGAAGCCCTCAGGCTATTATTTTGGGGACCCAGGAAGAAGAAGACTGATATAAATTTATTTAAGTTATTGCTTTTCAAAAGGAATTTAGTGAACTGCAAATGCAACCGCTTGCTTCCAAGCTCAGCATACTGCAAACTCATTTTACCCAGGTATATTCGAGGCATATAATTTTACCTTAATGAAATTCACAATTTTTCTCGCCCTCGCAAAAAAGCTGGTTTCCATTATAACTGATGGAAAACCCCCCTCAGTCAAATTTTTTTGCAGGGTTCTCTCATTGCTGAGTTCGATTTGAAGAAGGGCTTGTGGGGCAGGAGCCACCACAAAGAACGAGAATGAGGTTGAAATTTGAGAATACTAATTAATAATGAATAAAACAAAACGATTTGCCAGGGAACACGGCAGGGAAGCCTTCGATAAGGCTTCCGAAGAGTGAAAAGTCGAAATATATTTCAGAAATAAATCAGGGATAAATTCACACTTGAAAAAACAAATAAGTAGCAACTCCGTGTGCGGCAGAGGTCAAACTGAGACTGATATATTAATTAGGGAAAATAGATGACGTTGGTGTCTTTTTGAAACAGAGTGAATATCAATTTTTTGTTTTTTGTTTTCCTTGTGTTTTTTTTTCCTCGATTCCAGCTGGACCAAATGAAACTCGGCCTCCCGTCCCGCGAGTACTACTTGGGCAAGGGCAACGCCAAATACCTGGAAGCGTACAGACAGTTTATGACGGACGTCGCAGTGCTTCTCGGAGCTGAAGAAGATTATGCTCAGCAGGAAATGAAACTAGTGCTTGACCTGGAAACCCTGTTGGCGAATGTGAGTCTGTCCGTGCTTTAGCGTACAGACAGTTTATGACGGACGTCGCAGTGCTTCTCGGAGCTGAAGAAGATTATGCTCAGCAGGAAATGAAACTAGTGCTTGACCTGGAAACCCTGTTGGCGAATGTGAGTCTGTCCGTGCTTTTCCCCTCATTATTGCCACTCCCGATGGCAGGTGCAGATGCAATTTCGACGCATTCTGCTTCCTTCAGTACCCCAACTGACAAACATTTGTTTTTACTCCACTCCAAATTTCCGTCCTTCTCAATGATCCCTCAAGAATGTCTTTGGAAGTGTCTTTCAAGACTTTGCAAACCGTGCTGAGCGACTTCGTTTCTTCCGAAAAAAAAATTTGTTTTCGTTTTTTTTAATATAGCTGCCTTTATCATATACTCATTGAAATTGGCAAAGATATTTGAAAAATGAAGGATTGGGTTGAATTCCCCGCCTGCACCCGAAGCATAAACCTGTAAAATGCATACCTGAAGCTCTTGAAACATCAAATCTTGAAGTGCGTCTGAAGAAAGACATATTTTTAAGCAATGTTCGGTTGCTTTATGTTTGAAAGTGAGAAAATTATTTATTTTATTTCAACGATACGCCATATGTAGCTGGATTATGGCGAAACTCTGGATTTGATTCTTTTTCAAACAAACTTTCGAATTTCCCCGTTTTGACCGCTTCTTAAGCTATACTGTACATGGAATTTCACTCAGCGACTTGGCATGTGGTTCGGATTTTTTTGTATGCATTATTTTTAACAGGTAAATATATAGATGTATATTGTACACATGTAATAAAAACAAGATGGTTTTTTCCACAAAAAAGTTGAGACGCCTTGATGAAATAGATGAAGACTACCGAGCCAAAGAATCAGTCGCAAAATACCCATTGAGTAATTTTTTAAACGAGCTACAGCTTACCAATGACCTGTTTTTAAACGAAAAATATGTCATTCAAGCATGCATTTAAACGCAGCGATGATTAGCATAATTTTCCCAGTCTCATTAGCATGGACTCGAATAGCTCGGACTTCAAAGAAAAGGGTGGTGGATTATTCTGGTTATCATAAGTTTTAATTTTGTCCGTACTTTTTTCTGTATGTAAGTAGCGGCGATAAAGGGTTGCCTCAACTGGTTTCAGTGGAACTGGGTGCACTCCCTGAACTTTCGAGTAAAGACGTGGTTTCTGGCACACAAATACTTTTTTTTTCTATTTACCAGAAAATCTAGAGAAGTTTGAGAGGAGTTTTGGAATAGGAAGGTTTCATTGAAGGGTCCTGAGTAATGAAGGAAGTCTGGCACGAAGTCAGAGTCATGCGTTGCTCCAGTGAGGGAACGACGCGCGATGAATAATTCACTCCTATGGGCTCATAAACCCGCGAGAAATATGCAACCCTCGATCAAACTGCTTGAATTTATCATCAACCCGGCTCCCAAGAGTCCTTCGAATCTAAGTGCAAACATCATGTCTAATTCAGGGGTCGTATGGAAGGCATACGTGAAGTTCTTCATCATGTAGTCAAAATGTACCCTCATGTTAACTTGGATGATACAGTCAAGAACCACTCCCAGTTAAATTTTGAGGTACTGTATCAGCACAAAATTGGCGTTATGGGGGGTTGGAGTTGAGGAAGCAAGCATTTTTATTATGGGAAAGATAGAAGAATTCCAGGATATTGTAAATGGTGATATTCTTGGCCTTAAATTGCTTCTTAAATATTTTGACGGTTTCTTGAACTTGGATACAAGGTTCATTTGCCAAATAACCTCTCACTCCTTTTCAGGACACATTCAGTTAATTTTACATTCCTTTTCTCTTTCCAGTGTCATAAGAAAATAATTTCCAAAAGACCTCCAGAAAATTCGAATTTCGGAGGTTTGAGATGCTAAGCATTCCAGTTCGAGGGGTTTTAATGCATTATTTCTAAGGGAATTCAGGCACATCTTGGAAAAAATCTGACTTCTGGAGGCTTGAGTTAACAAAGTTCAACTGTAGTAGAATTAAAACTCCCCAAAAGGCAGGTAGCTTCGTGTAAAAATATGTTTCTCAGTGATGTTTGAAAAAAAGTTTCAATGCATCCAAGAGAAATGTTGAGAATAGGCAAGACCTTTGGGCAATTAGCCAATGCATGAAAATCCAAATTTTGATACAGTAATTCAAGAATTTGATAGTGTTTGGAAAAATGCCTCACAACTTTTTAACATTCGAAGTTTGTAACATTGGACCACTCATCCTTTTTGCGCTTGATGTACTTGAAGTCATGTATACTTTAAATGCATCGGAACAACGATGATTATTTTAAGATCAATTCAGTTATTACAATTACGGAAAGCGTGTATTCTGTCATCTTCCAGTTCAATGAATACAAAGCAATGATGCCCATGGAGAAAAATTCTTATCTTGAAAATATCAGTTGAACCTCTTTAAGTCGAATTTCGAGGGACCAGAAAAAAATTCGACTTAGTGAGGTTTTGACTTGGGGAGGTTTAGATTTTTTTAGATTTGGGGTTAAGCAAATAAATATTTTTGCTCCAAGGAAAATGGGAAATTATAGATTAGGATATTCTGGGACTAAACTTGCTTCTTAATGAGTTTAAAGCTTGCTGAACTTGTAGGCAGGGGTTCATTTGTTCAATTAGTCCTTTGCTTTATTTCAAAATGCATAAAATAATTTATTTTGTTGATTTTATCTTTCATTTTTTAAGGAAATAGTAACCAAAAGGCATTAGAAAATTTGACTTACAGAGGTTTGAGATAAAAATATTTTGAGTTAGGGAGGTTTTTAAAACATTGTTTCTATGGGAATCCAGACAGGGACTTGAAAAAAATTAGAGTTAAGGAGGTATTTGACTTAGGGAGGTTCGACTTAGCGAGGTTCACATGCATAAAATTGTGTAATGGTCTTGCGGAGTCTGATTATTTTTCGTTGATTGTTCAACCTCAATACAAGTTATTGGACTTCATTATAACGAAAACCTCCGTAAGGTTTAATTCGATTCAGTTCCTGTCCCAAATACCTTTTCCAATACTCAAACCTATGCAACTCAAATGCAAAGAAGCCCTCAGGCTATTATTTTGGGGACCCAGGAAGAAGAAGACTGATATAAATATAAGTTGCTGCTTTTCAAAAGGAATTGAGTGAACTGTTATTGTGCAAATGCAACCGCTTGCTTCCAAGATCAGCATACTTGTAAACTCATTTTCCCCAGATATATTCGAGGCATAGAAGATGACCAATTTTACCGTAATGAAATTCCCAATTTATCTTACCCTCGCAAAAAAGCTGGTTTCCATTCTAACTGATTGAAAACCCCCCTCAGTCAAAATTTTTTGCAGGGGTCCCTCATTGTTGAGTTCGATTTGAATAAGAGCTTGTGGGGCTGGAGCCACCACAAAGAACGAAAATGAGGTTGAAATTCGAGAATACATGTACTAATTAATAATGAATAAACAAAACAATCTGCCAGGGAACACGGCAGGGAAGCCTTCGATAAGGCTTCCGAAGAGTGAAAAGTCGAAATATATTTCAGAAATAAATCAGGAATACATTTACACTTGACAAAACAAATAATTAGCAACTCCGTGCGCGGCAGAGGTCAAACTGAGACTGATATATTAATTAGGGAAAATGGATGACGTTGGTGTCTTTTAGAAACAAGGTGAATCTCAATTTTTTGTTTTGTTTTCCTTGTGATTTTTCCTCGATTCCAGCTGGACCAAATGAAACTCGGCCTCCCGTCCCGCGAGTACTACTTGGGCAAGGGCAACGCCAAATACCTGGAAGCGTACAGACAGTTTATGACGGACGTCGCAGTGCTTCTCGGAGCTGAAGAAGATTATGCTCAGCAGGAAATGAAACTAGTGCTTGACCTGGAAACCCTGTTGGCGAATGTGAGTCTGTCCGTGCTTTCCCCCGCTCATTATTGCCACTCCCGATAGCAGGTGCAGATGCAATTTCGACGCATTCTGCTTCCTTCAGTACCCCAACTGACAAACATTTGTTTTTACTCCACTCCGAATTTCTTCCGAAAAAAAATTGTTTTTCGTTTTTTTATGTATAGGTGCCTTTATCATATACTCATTGAAATTGGTACAGATATTTGAAAAATGGAGGATTGGGTTGAATTCCCCACCTGCACCCGAAGCAAAAACCTGTGAAATGCTTACCTGAAGCTCTTGAAGCATCAAATCTTGAAGTGCGTCTAAAGAAAGACATATTTTTAAGCAATGTTCTGTTGCTTTATGTTTGAAAGTGAGAAAATTTGTTATTTTATTTCAACGATGCGCCATAACTGGATTATGGCGAAACTCTGGATTTGATTCTTTTTCAAACAAACTTTCGAATTTCCCCGTTTTGACCGCTTCTTAAGCTATACTGTACATGGAATTTCACTCAGCGACTTGGCATGTGGTTCGCAGATTTTTTTGTATGCATTATTTTTAACAGGTAAATATATAGATGTATATTGTACACATGTAATAAAAACAAGATGGTTTTTTCCACAAAAAAGTTGAGACGCCTTGATGAAATCGATGAAGACTGCGGAGCCAAAGAATCAGTAGCAAAATACCCATTGAGTAATTTTGTCAACGAGCTACAGCTTATCGATGACCTGTTTTTAAACGAAAAATATGTCATTCAAGCATGCAATTGAACACATCACGGATTTGCACAATGTTTCCCAGTCTCATGAGCAGGGTCTCGACGAGCTCGGACTTCAAAGAAAATGGTGGTGGGTTTTTCTGGTTATCATAAGTTTCAATTTTGTCCGTACACGTTTTCTGTATGTAGCAGCGATAAAGGATTCCCTTGAGCCGTCAACTGGCTTCAGTGGAACTGGGTGCACTCCCTGAACTTTCAAGTAAAGACGTGGTTTCTGGCACACAAATACTTTTTTTTTTCTATTTACCAGAAAATCGAGAGAAGTTTGAGAGGAGTTTTGGAATAGGAAGGTTTCATTGAAGGGTCCTGAGTAATGAAGGAAGTCTGGCACGAAGTCAGAGTCATGCGTTGCTGCAGTGAGGGAACGACGCGCGATGAATAATTCACTCCTTTGGGCTCATAAACCCGCGAGAAATATGCAACCCTCGATCAAACTGCTTGAATTTATCATCAACCCGGCTCCCAAGAGTCCTTCGAATCTAAGTGCAAACATCATGTCTAATTCAGGGGTCGTATGGAAGGGAATCCAATTTTCTTCCCGAATTTAAGCGACGTTACCATGTTCCTATGCGAAGCGCGGTCATAGAATAGCAAATATGCTTCACTCCATCTATCATTCGGTTGGAAATAACGGGATTGTTTTTTGATGAGCACTCAAATACAATTTTATTTCAGCAAATATTACAGATTTTAAGCTGCAAAAAACACATTCCATATGCAAGAGATATTATAGTTCTGAGACAGTTACCCATCTTCCAAGGGATTTTCATTTGAAGTGCAAATCTACATTTATTGCTGCAAAAATGAAGGAAACTGGAGCATCCTCGCTCCTTGGATGTTAAAAGAGGACTTGATATTTTCTCATCACAGGTTTCATAAAGACAACAATCACACACATAATCCCAAAATAAAATCTTGCATTGTTGAATAAAAACTTGCTTCCAAAAAGAAATGAAATATGACCAAAGAAAACATGCTTCATTGTATATGGTGCAACTCACAATGTGCAATATTCCAAAGCAAGTCTGGAATTTTTGACAAACATTGCCAGGTTTTAAATTGAGGCTAAATATGTTTGCTGAATTTTCTATGATATTATACAAATTGATCCAACTAACAAATTTTGAGGTATTGTCACTTTTCTGAAGCTAACTTTTTCTTTGGTGATGAAAATCTGGAAAACCGTCATGCCAGATTCTTATTTCACCATTACAGGAGCATTTGGTGCTAACACTGACTTCAAAAGCCTTGTTCACTAATGCAGGAATGAATTCATTTCTACAACACGCAAAAAAGCGAGAAGTAACTGGAACACAATAGAGCATGTTATCTGCTGTTATAAACCTATAATGATTATAGTTATAGTAAAATTTTATACTGTAGCAATTTTTTATGGAAGTTGAAAATAAAAGACACAATGTTGAATAAAACTTGTTGAAACGAAATCTCGCTTCTCATTTCAAAAAATTACTTTTTCATTAATTTTTGGGGCTTTCCTGATAATAGTGAGGATAAGAAGTTTTTTTCCTGTATATGGAGACACTGTTTTTGTTTCTTGCGAGAAATGTGTTACTCTATTGGAAAAAAGTTACTTTATTCAATTTCAATTCAGGTTTTTTCAGAGAAAAAATCGTCTGTAATAAATATTAATTTTTTAAACAAAAAATGTTAACTCCTTTGATGGTAGTCTAGACATGAAAATTTTTTTTTATTACGATTTCGGGATTTTTTCTTGAAGTTAGTGGTGAAGTGATTTCTGCTTTATTTATAGCGCAGATTTTCTTATTTGAAACACTCGAGCTTCTAATTTTCTGCGATCACTTGAAAAACAATTATAGAATTTCCAAAATCGAAATGAAACGAAATAATTGGGAAACATAATTTATCGAATGAAAGTGCCATAATTGAAGTCTTTTTCCGTGTGATCCTATATTGCTTTCAACAAGGGCTCCAAAACTTGAAAGCATTCTGGAGAAATGCTTCAAACCCCGAAAAGGTTGACGATCCGTGGAATTAAAATTTGTACATTCTACATTACTTCTGGCCAAGTATCAGCCTTTCAGCCAACGTCGAAAGCTACTCTTGGCAGGAAATATTTTATGTCGTATATACGCGGGCAAGTTTTTTTTTCGAGCGGAATTTATTTTTGTTGGTTGAAAAGGAGGTGCAAGTAGAAGGATTCATGAGAATTGCGGGTTTTTAATTCATGGCCCTATCAAGAAGTCAAGGCAGTGCTTGATTTCTTTTTTGTTTTGCGTTTTTTTTTTTTTTTTTTTTTTTTTTTTTTTTTTT